AAAGAAATCTTGTTTCTGATCGCTCTTCAGTTGCAAGTTTATCTAGTGCAAATGCAGCAGGGAGAATCCAACATCTTCACTTGTCAGATGATTTGAGTCCTGATGAGATGCAAGAAAATACTTTCTCACTTCAAGCAGGTAGGTTTATAAGGCCTAATCCTCTGGAATGTGTTTACTTACACTTGCACAAAGGGATTCAAAATATTTCAAAACTGAAATTGTAAACTTTTATACCTGCTTTAGGGAGCAGGAGCATCAAGTCAGACGTGTTTATTTCTAAATGTGCACTATCAGCACGTTTTCAAAAACCACACTTGTTTTAGAAAGAAGCAAAGGATAAAGTATTAAGTACATGGGGATCATATATATTTCATCCACCTGTAAATACATCTCATACATATATTTTTTATTTTGTTTTTAGAGTGAGATTATTTTTATTTGATCATATTTTCCCTCTATTCAAATTTACTATGGTAGATCAGTCATGAATTGATTATGAAGGAACTCTTTCAAAGTGGTATATTAAAGACTACCAGTCAGGCGAGGATTCCTCAGGAGTTATGGAGAGAAACCCTTTTAGAGGAGACTTCTCAATACCACGTCAGCTCTCCATTCTGAAATGCCTTCTGGAGGATCATGTCTTTTTCCAGTGACCATAGAAGGACAAGGCAAAATATCCTTACTAGGATTACACGAGCCTTTGCAGTATCTTCCTGAAAGCTATAATGTAATACATAAGTGTTTTTGAATACTTCATCATGAATGTTACCTCTGAAGAGCTGGCAACATGAAATACATTGCAATACCGAAAGTATTGCCAGTGTGGAGCGTATTTCTGGCTTACTTCTGCCTTCCTTAAGGACTCCTAAGAAAGAGTAAGCACTGAACTCGCAGAAGTCTTTCTTAGTTCTGAGTACTTGTTCATATATTGGGTGTGGGTGGCAAGGTTTTGTTAGCAGAGGGCCTCTGTGGGAGGAGGTGAGGGATTGCCCTCTGTGGGACACAGCTGGTTCCAGCTGGTCTCATGTCAGACCCACTGCTTGCCACAGCTAAGCTCATCAGCAAAGCTGGTGGTGCATCAGAGCAGAGATTCCCCCGCAGCCTATGGGAGAGACCTCAGTGGAGCAGGTATTCCCGATGCAGCATGTGGAGAGGACCCACGCTGCAGCAGGGGAAAAGTGTGAGGAGAAAGGAGCAGCAGAGTGGAACTGCTATGTACCGTCTGTAACCATCATTCACCACCCCCTAATGCTGGTGGGGGAGAGGGTAGAGGAACCGGAAGTAAGATAAGGCTGGGGGGTGTGTGGAAAGGATGGTGTGGGGGGAAGGTGTTGTTTTAATTTTTTGTCTTTGTTTTTTTTCTGTCAAAATCTATTTTAATTGGCAATAAATTAAATTAATTTTCCCCAAGTCAAGTCTGTTTTGCTTGTGATGGTAACTGGTAAGCGACCTCCCTGTCTTTATTTTGACCCATGATCTTTTCCATCCTATTTCGTCCCTCTGTCCTGTTAAGGAGGGGGAGTGAATGAACAGCTGGATGGGCATTTGGCCCTTAGCTAAGGTTAACCCACCACGCTATCTGAATATCTTTATGAATCTGGCCCTACATGTTACATCTGAATTTTTATTCTAGCTTGTTGTGCTGCAATTACTGAACTGGTGCTCAATGAAACTAATGCTTACCAGGTAGTACAGGTAAGAAGACTTTATTTAATTAAGTAAGAAATTAGAGTTTATATTTGACTTAATTGTTCTTATTTGTCACCATTATTTAATTAATTAACAAACAAAATGCTTTTGAAAGGGATTGGAAAATATGCCTTTATATAACTTCAGTATCTCTATTTCTTTATACATTTACACACAGAGACGTATACACAAAGATATCAACATATGTATCTAGCTATCTAGGAGAATAAACAGCTTTATTCAAACAGGGTTCATTTTGGTTGGCATCTCTTGCCGTGCTTTTGCCATGATCAAAATAGGATAGTAAATAAAAGTAATCACAGAATTAACTGAGAAATACATATTCTGAATTTCATGAAGTCATTTAAAGCTAACTCTGTGCAGTTTAATGTTGGTGTGTTGTTGTTTCACAACCAATTTCTCCTTTCCTCAGAGTTTGGTATTTCTGAGATAACTTCCTGGCACTCCATCCCCAGGATTGTGTTTCTAAACTGCATTTTAAAATGTAGTATTTAAATCAGCTAGAATCTATGGTTCTGAAAACAATTCTTAAAATCCTTGGTATGTATTCCAGACATAGTCAAAGACACAAATATTTCTGTGCGAAGGAGTGCTATTAATATTGACCTTTCTGGGTTTCCAGGCAAATGGAATATATACAATAGCAAAGCTGATTTTACCAAACAAAGAAAGGAATGCTGAAAAAGCTGATTTATTACAGGTAACTTCCTTTATTTTCCTTGCACATGGAAAGCCCCAAACAGTCCCTGAGAATTTTAAAGTTTATTTTAAAGTGCAGTAAAACTTACTTAAAAGGGAAAAACACCTCACCAAAACAAAACCGGGAATAAGAAAAGGCCCAGGAACTAAAGGTTAAATAGTGACTTAGTTTCTGGTGTTCTGTTCTGATCTATTTTGTTTCTGGCACCTCATATAGTATAAAAGAAAGTGAATATTTTTCTTGTGACAATCTTTCCTCCACTTTTTCAGGCTGCCCATCGTCAGATCTTCTTTTTAGTGTATTAGTTTTCATTGAAACTCACTGTATATTTGACAGTGTACTAATATCTGTTTCTTTCTGGAGTGTCTTACTGTGGCTTTTAAATAAAATGCAGGAAAACATCACATGAAGTAGAGCAAATCTAAATGTAGGATAAACATAGAGCTAATAAGTGTAGAATGGCTCTTGGTTTTACATGTCAGTACCCCCATAAATGTACTGGTTTGAGTCAACTCGGACTAAAAGTTATCAGTAGTAATTACTTAGCTGGTAGCTCTTCTCCAGCCTCTGTGCAATGGTGTTGGTGTCTCTCTAAGCTATAGGAAAGTAGTGGTCTGGCATTCAGGAACAAACACAACTGCTGTTGCTCCAGTTGCCCTTCTGTGGGCAAGTGTGAGGAGGTCCTCTCACCTGCTCTTTGTTCTGGCGTAGCCCTATGCTAACATGGCTACAAAGCTACTCAATTATCTAATCAGGTAGACATGCCTTGATAGTGAGGGAAGGCATTTCCCCCCCAAAAAATTCATTGTAGTGTCATCTTTCTCATTTCAGTTCTTCTAGATTAGGGTTGGAGTGCAGATTCAGTGCAGTATGTCCCTTTCTTCTGCAATGAGGTTTTATAGTGCACGTTAGTTAAATCGGGTTAAGAGAGGGATAACTAAAAATTTTCCTAGAGCATATATGAGACTAACATGGAGTCTAATAAACTGGAGCATATGCTCAGTACAGTTGCCGCATACATCTGTAAAGAGCTTAATTTATGCCCACCGAGATTTTTAGATTCCAGCAGAATGTGATAGAAAATAACTCACAGGGGATACTAAGCAACTGTAGTTGGGTTAAACATGAAACCGTGTGAATTAATAATGGACTTAATGATCACATATGAAAACTAAATCTGTTTCAGGGAAACAATAAGAGGTACTTTTTTTTATGAATCCTTGTAGAGATTCTCACACTGCTATCTGTATTGCCATTGTTTTATCACTGCTATGCAATACAGTTGCAGCTATTAGCATACCCTTTTTGAATTTCATAGGCATTTTTCTTAGAATTCTCGCAATGCTGGTCTGGTTTCTTCACTGCTCCATTGTCTGTGTTTTCAACATTTAAATTTTCAGCTTCTTCCTACCATACTACCGTAGTGATCTTACTCCATTACTTCAAAGGTGGCAGTGATTTCAGTCATTTATTCTGCATATGTACCATATATAAAAATCATCATGCCTTAACTGAAGCATATCACAAATGCTAAGTATTAATCTCACAATACTAGTATGAGAAAGACAACTATTGCTGTTTAAATTATCTATTTATCTCATTATTAATCTATTATCTTGTCCTTTCACTGATGGGCTTTCTACAGTAAGATCTATGTATAGTCTCTAAAATGAAGAATTTTCAAGGTAGCATCTATGGCCCAGCCAGTCTGGGTTATTTTGTACGGCTGAATTGTGAATGTGATTCTCAGTGAAATGTTAGACGTCATGACACATCATCCTTCTCCTGTGATGGGGGAGTTTACTTTGGACTAAAAAGAAACATTGTCTGTAACAGAAACAGCTTCTTAGCTGCATTAACATACATTCCTTGTCTGTAAAATTCCAAGTATCCTGCTTCCTTCAAAAGTAGCATTTGGCCTTTATTTTCTTCATTTAATGCATTTTCTATATATTGAAAAAGAATTTTTAACATGGGGATTAATTCTGCAGTTGTCACTAAGACACAGCATTGTCTAAATAGGGATTATCACACTGGGCTGTAGTAGTGTTTTAGTCACTGATGCAATAAAGTAATTCTAAATTACGTTAAAGGTGTTTACTAATTGCACTATTTCAGATATCAATACCATATTTCCCTTTGGCTTACTTAATATGGTCATCTTTGTTTGGTCAGCTATATATGTGCCATATTATTGACTCTTGATAAACAATATTAAAGATTAATTGCATAAAAGCATACATATTAACTACCTGCCAGGGGCTGTTTTAAAAATAAACTTTTTTCAGTAGAGGTCATATTGAAACGAAGGTACATAAAGACAAACTGAGATACATAAAGATCTCTGTAAATACAATGAACTTAGTATTAAAAAAAAAAAGTTGGCCATTCTCTCTTGCTTTCCTTTTTTGTCCCCTATTAGAACTTACGGTGTTCTACACTACGTTTTTCAGAGAAAATGCAAAACGCTGTTTCTACTGCATCATTACAAAACCACTGATTACATTTACTTTTTTCAGCATTGGAGAAGAGAGCAGGTCTCAAGTCTTGAGGTATCTGCAAATAAAAAGAGATGATGAAGACTTAGATGTTCCTCAGTGTATGCTACAGCTATAGTCACCCACTTTTTTTTTTCCTTAAATGGCCCTGCCTACTTTTACAATAGAAGAGGAACTTAATATTATCTTTATTCTCTTCATTGTCAGGTTAATAATGTGATCTATCTAGTCATTTAAGTACAGTTTACTGACCTGTAAAGTCAAGGGGAATCCTTGATGTTTATCAGTGGCTTTTCCATTTGTATCTAAATTTGTCATTAATTTAACTATTTTTCCTGCTGTAGTGTTATGCCTTCAGAGCCCTGAGATTTCTCTTCAGTATGGAAAGGAATCGACATATCTTTAAAAGGTACGTTAACAAAATGTTTTGTGAAACTCCTTTAGGATAGCTTTCAAAAGTCACCACTCCAATCAGAAAGAGATGGTTTTTAAATGTCATTTATTTTCCACCAGAAGAAACAGTAATGGGCAACTTCTGTCCTGTGCACAGCTACAGATAGCCATTTCTGCATTGCATCAGTGCCAGCCTACAAGATTTAGATGTTCAGTGCAGGGACTTCTATTGTATGCATGCCAGAGAAGTTAGCTCTGTAGGGGCTGCTTTCTCCCTCATGAATCAATGTTTTAAATATGTTGAAGACAGATTTAATACTGTTGGAGATAAACCATACTTTTATCCTGAACATTAGCAGCTGCAAGTTACAGCCCCAGATATCAGCAAGTAACTGGAGGCAGTAAATTTTTCCTGAGCCCTCCACTCCTTCGTATGGGAATGACTTTGCATCAAGCTGGTTTACTTAGGAGTGTTACTGAAAGCTTTGGATCAATAAGGAGAAAATGTCTTTCATCAATTACCCATTTTTACTAGTAAGATGACAGTTTTGCCAGGTTGGCTACAACGGCCATGTAAAACCTAACAGTTCAATTTGTGGGATTAGGTTAGTAATCATACTGCCTAGGAGGTCTGCCTGGTGGTAGTGTTTCTGTGTGATTTTATTCTGCATCATAAATTACTAGAATTCTAAATACAACTTTTGTGTTATTTTTGCTTTTAAAAAGTGGATTTTGTACTAAAAGGGTCCCAGTTGGTAATGAATGTTCATGGTTGGTGTCAGGTTTTGAAAGTGATAAATCTGGACTAATTTGCTGTCTTTTGTATTTTTCCAAATGCCTTAATTTTCTGTATTTCTACTTCTGCCAGATCTTTAAAAAGAAACAAATATTCAGTTAAGCATATCACTAATCCAATATCTGTTAGCTTTTGCTTTTCTCAATCCTTTTTGTCTTTTAGACTAGATTTCTTGGACAAAAATTCTAAGATGGGTGTCATGATTCTTTAAATACAGACAAATATTAATCCTATCACTTAATGCATTACAAGAAGGAACTTGGATAAAGTGACAACAAGTATAATATGAATTACTATAAGAAAAAAATAGGAAAAATACTGGAAACTCAGGAGGTGCATTGACCTTAAAGAGGCTTATACTTGTTTGGAGAACCGGTATTTATATTAATTCCCAACCAATGGAGATTGAAGTCTGACTTTTAAAAGGTCCTTTAACTCCTATGTATGTAATGTTAGAGGGTTAATAGATTAGTAAAAAATAAGTGTATTATTTAGAAGGTTCTAAAACAAGTTGTAATAATAAACATTGAAAAGACTCTGCTGTAGATTAATAGCTACCATGTACACTGTTTCTAAAATGTATCAAAATTTAAACCTTTGTAGACTTTTCCCTCCTGACTTGTTTGAAATCTTCATTGATATCGGACATTATGTGCGTGATATCAGTGCTTATGAAGAGTTGGTATCAAAGCTGAATTTATTAAAGGCAAGTGAAAACCTTGACAGCTTTAAGAAGCTGTATTCTTTGCACATTCTTAGCACAGGAAAGGCGTGACATATTTTATACTTATTTATTTGTCATTTAATTTATAACCAGGAGGATGAATTGAAGCAAATTGCTGAAAGTATTGAGAACATGAATCAGAATAAAGCACCTACAAAACATATAGGCAATTACGCAATTTTAGAGCACCTTGGCAGTGGAGCTTTTGGAAGCGTATATAAGGTAAACTGCCCTTTTGGTATTAATTTACAGGTTTGCGAAGAGGCATCATAAAGAGGGTCGTCTACCACTTCTAGGCACTACCATCCTTTGAAATTCAGTAGAGGAATGCAGGTGTGAAAAGGCCCTTACGGATCTGGTCTTGTTGTTAGTGTTTACTGTGATTTTTGTTTGTCCCCCTTCGTATTTATAAGATTGACCAGTTTATCTCTTAGGTTTCCTAGTTTTACTTTCTTTTAATTCCTTTCCACAAACAGCATTTCTGTCTATTGTAAAGACTAACAAATCTATGTAAAACCACTGAAATTCAAGCATGTTTTATCTGAAAAGCAGCTCTGGGCACGGATAATGTTACTTCAAACACTGTGGCAAGTTCAGCAGTATATTGCTAACCTGCATTGTGGGGCTCCAGTTCTTTTGGTTAATCCTATAATACACAGAAAAAGCTATGATTGTAACTTTTGCGAGACAGGTTTGGGGTCTGATAACTAATCTGGTAGCCAAAATAATATCCTTTCTATCTCCACCCTATATTAATTTTACAAGGGTTTTGTCTTTTTCATAGGTTAGAAAACATAATGGACAAAATCTCCTGGCAATGAAAGAAGTCAATTTACACAATCCAGCATTTGGAAAGGACAAAAAAGACAGAGCGAGCAGTGTAAAGAGCATTGTCTCAGAATTAACCATCATCAAAGAGCAGGTATGTCTTATGGACTCCAGTTTCAGGTATGGGCATTCTGCTGTTAGCATTATTGACTGTGAATTCTCATAGGGAAAGCTGCCCGGTGGAAAAGGACCTAGGGGTGCTGGTTGACAGCTGGCTGAATATGAGCTGACAGTGTGCCCAGGTGGCCAAGAAGGCCAATGGCATGCTGGCTTGTATCAGAAATAGCGTGGCCAGCAGGACTAGGGAAGTGATTGTCCCCCTGTACTCAGCACTGGTGAGGCTGCACCTTGAATACCGTGTTCAGTTTTAAGCCCATCACTACAAGAAAGACATTGAGGTGCTGGAGGATGTCCAAAGAAGGGCAATAAAGCTGGTGAAAGGTCTACAGAACAAGTCTTGTGAAGAGGGGCTGAGGGAACTGGGGTTGTTTAGCCTGGAGAAAAGGAGGCTGAGGGCAGACCTTATCGCTCTCTACAGCTACCTGAAGGGAGGTTGTAGAGAGGTGGGTGTGTCTCTTCCTCCAGGTAGCAAGTGATAGGACAAGAGGAAAAGGCCTCAAGTTGCACCAGGGGAGGTTTAGATTGGATATTAGGAAAAATTCCTTCACCGAAAGGGTTGTGAAGCATTGGAACAGGCTGCCCAGGGAAGTGGTTGAGTAACCATCCTTGGAGGTATTCAAAAGATGTGTCGATGTGGTGCTTAGGGACATGGTTCAGTGGTGGACTTCGCAGTGTTAGGTTTACTGTTGGACTCGATGATCTTAAAGGTCTTTTCCAACCTAAATGATTGTATGATTCTATATAGCAGGGCTTCCAGCTGTTGTTAGTATTTTTGTCTGATCAGTACAATATTGGCCTTGTTTACTGGAATGTTGCCAGTATTGAAAACCTTCTTACTGTAGCGTTAACAGCAGTGCAAATGCTTGTTACTGAAGTTTCTTATTTTCTCTGTTGGCAGTATTTGTACTTTTTTTCAAGGAATCTGTAAATTAAGATTGTGATAGAAAGCTGATGAGTCTTTGTTCTATTTAATGAATTATTTGGTTTAAAATACAGTGAGAAAATAGTCTTTTTTTGTAACTGAAAATTAAAAAAACAGACTGATCATTAGTGTTCTTAGGCTAAGGAAGCCAATACTTTGATGTGGGCGTAATTGCTTGTCTTCAAACATCGTTTACTCTCTTTCAGTTATTAAGGGGAGAGGGGATAGAAATCATGCTGTATTTTCCTCCTGATTGCTCTAGTAATGTGCAACACTTCTCTGTGTTTGGGGCAGCAGTGAAGGTCTACTGCACTTCAGTTCATAAGCAAGTTTGTGGAGTCCTTCCTTCCAATGTGTAGCTAAACTTTATGAATACTTGTGCCATCAGTTTAACTATTCTAAACATCTACATTTCTTTCCTTATTGTAGCTTTATCATCCAAATGTTGTGCGGTATTATAGAACCTTCTTGGAAAGTAAGTATAAATGCAGAGAATTACCACATTATACATAATGAAGAAATAGAAATATATGGTAAAACCACTTACAGCTTGGAAGGAGTGTGTCAAATTTGAGTAATGTATGGTAATATTTTCTTCAAGAACTGCTACAGTTTACGCAGCCTTATATTCCTTTAAAACTGAAAAAAAAGTGAGAAATAATGTTTATATTTGTTTATCTATCAGTAAAACTAGATGCAGTGTAAACCTGTAGAAAGTATCACTCTCATCCTCTAGAGTTAAAGACTGAAAATTTACAAGTGGAATTCTAAATAAGGAGAAAAGCTATAGTGACTAGTAGAATGAATGATATCGACTGCTCAGCCATATTGTCTTAACTTTCTTTTTGATAAAGAGTTAGCTACATACACCTGCCTGCTGAGTGATTATCATGCAGTGAACTCCTTATAGTTGCTGTGATATAAATTAAGGACAAAATGGAATATTAAGGAGTAGAAATATGATTAAAATGTATTTGTACAAATAAATTTTTAAAAACTAAAAAAAAACCAGTTTGAAAAACATATTTACTCTATTTCCAAATGCCTTCTGCATAGATGTAATGTTCTATTAACTTATTTTCTTTTATGCAGATGACAGATTGTACATAGTCATGGAGCTCATAGAGGGAGTGCCATTGGGAGAACACTTTCACTCTTTGAAGGAAAAGCAACAACGGTTTACAGAAGAAAGAATATGGCAAATATTTATCCAAGTAAGGGCCTCCATTTTTCTTGTTACCAGGACACTTTCCTGCATGTAATTAGTAGCACTGTTTATATTTGTTAGGCTAATAAATGACAAAGTAACGCTTATTGTATCAGCCACTAATATCAGATATGAATTTAATTTTGTGTGCCTTTATTAGGTTGTAGTTAAGAATCTTTGTAAGGCTCTTTCTGTTTGGTTTTTAAGCTTTGTCTAGCTCTTCGTTATTTGCATAAAGAGAAGAGGATTGTTCATCGAGATCTCACTCCGAACAATGTCATGCTGGGCGATAAAGACAAAGTTACAATTAGTAAGTAGAACTACTTTACTTGAAGAGAATTTCCCATGATGTACATGAGTAGAATTTCTTTACTGAAACTCTCAGAAGGTTTTGGATTCCTGGGCATTGGTCACCATATTTGGAAGCTAGTAAATTATTGCATTATTATACTGTTGTGTAAAATAATTGCTAATGCAAATTTTGTGATCATTGCCACTAGGTGTCATCAGCCATGACTGCATTTTTCACAGCTATGTGTGTCAAATATGATGGAGGAGATGATTTAGCCCTAAACCAATTAAACTATACTTATGCTTCAATACCTGTTTTTATTTAAATCAGCAAGAATATTGACATAACCAGATTAGATAACAAGTGCTAATGAACATACAAAGTATAACAGCTGTCTGTTCTATTCCAGTTATAACATGCAATTGTTTAGTATCCATCAGTTGTTTCCAGTGATCAGCAGTGAAATGCTATTTGTCTAAGGCTGTAGTAGTCAATGTTCTTGATGAATGCTTCTAAAATCTCCACAGTGTGGAGGAAGGAACCTAAGCAGTATATGTGTAAACAGTACAAAGTATGAAAAAGTTTTACTCTTTGAGTGAATTAATACAACCTGGTAAACACAGCAAGCCTTACAGGCAATTCAGATACTGTAGTTTTTAAAGTTCTTAACTACTGCATGCTTTCTTACTGCTCGTGACACAGAGCTAAATAAACAATTTGAATAGTGCAGAATTATTGTGAGAAATCTTTACGCAAAAATCAATCTCTCCTCTTTAAAAATAACAGGGAAGTGTAGACATATGCACACTCAACCACAAAACACTCAGCTAAAATAGGCAAATATATTTAGCAACTGTTGTTTTATAGTAAGTATTTATACCTGATGATGTACATACTTAAATTCCTTCATTATTAAATTGTGTCTGCTAGAACCCTCTGATGCTTAATAATTATACAGTTTTGAAAGGAGGTGATTTAGTGGAGCATTTATCCCTGAGTGATGAAAATAAATATTATTTTAAAGTAAAGTATCATAGAGTTTTATTTTATATCGACATACTGCCACTGAGGGGCACTCTTGTCTTGATTTAACACCTTTGCCTTATCTCTGGGCCAATCTAGATTTAAAGAAGTGTAAATGTACTTTCAAATGTAGGCTCAAAATTGGCCTTGAAAAGCATTTATATTTCTGTCAAAGATTTACAGAAGCTGAGGAAAATTGGAAGAACTGAAACTTATTTTGACCATTTCTACAGTGCTTGGTTTGCAACTACTGCAATATTTAAACACTTACTTTATTTAAATACTTTAATTAGTACCCAGTGTACATGGAATTTTCAGAGGGAGCTGAAGGCCTTTTATCTGTTGTTTCTGACTTTCACTGAGCCTTGTTGTTTTACAACCTTACTGACATTAAGAATAATTTACTTTCTTTCCAATAATAAATATGTACTGTATTCATGTATGCTGTGGTATTATGCCTAACTCATACAGTCCATGTATGCCAAAGACTGGAGCATTTGCCATCTTGATAATTATTTCTCACAGTATTTGTGGATAAGCATACTATACATTTGAGAATTTCAAGTGATTCCAGATGAAAGTTAATACAAAATGTCAGATGAAGGTGGAAGCGTATGCTCAATTATTGAGACATCTTAAATCTGCTTCTGCAGTGAATTTAACCTGTCAGCTTCTATAAAGGAAAAGGTCTGCTCTAAGATCTACTCAGAACTGTAGTTCTGTGTTTACAAGCTACATAGTCATCCTAAAGAGAGAGTGTTCAATTTTCTGGAGACTTTCAAATCTCAAAACTGTCCAAAACTTGTCTCGATCTACCTAGGGTAATATTCCCGTGGACTACCTGTAAAGCATTGTTGTGCAACTATATAATTAAGATATGGTCTCCAATGATCCATGTTATTTTGCTTCCTAAAAGAAGCTTGTATATCTGCTCTTTTTTCTTTTCCTCGGTCAGTCCTTCTGGAAATAGTAACTCTTGTTAATCTTATGCTATGAGAATCTGCAGGTATGCAGTATAACAAAGGCAGCTTATTCTTCTGTAACTAATGTTTTTCAAATATGTTGTCTTTAGAGGTGCCTTAGTTTCAGACCCACATGGTAGATTTTGATTTAGAAAAAAAAAAAGTGAGCAAGATACTGGAGCAAAGTGCTTCTAAAGGCTAAGACTTTCATTCTGTACATTGCATGGCTATGCAGCAGCCCCAACATTGGACTGCTTTAAGAAAATTCTGGAACCCACAGGTAGGTGTTTCTCACGATACAGTTTCTGAGATTACGTTGTTTGGACAGGAAAGGAGTGCATAGTGTGGGAGACATTCCCACCTTGCTGTCAGCACAGAAAAAAATAAACCTGCAAAAGAATTACACTTGCTTGTCCTGAATTCATGGAGAAATGTTCTACAGGTGGCCCTTGTAGAACAATTCTGGCAGAACTTGGTAGGCAGGGACCTATGGTGAAAGTGGCTGAAAAATAGAATTCATACAGGCAGAGAACTCTGCAACTGGCCTGGCACAATGTAAGATTAAGCTATGAGGGGCCTTTTCTAGAGGTGGTCTCTGAATACCGTCTCTATAGGTTTTACCTGAGGTAATAATAGGAAGAATTTTTGAATCTGTATAGTCATGCTGTATTTTCTTTTTCTTAAATATTGAGTGTGATTAGACACTCTCCTCATCTTTGTTTTATTGTTTGGGTTTTTTTGTTTGGTTGTTTTTTTTTTTTTGTTAACGTATACAAGATATAAATGAAAGTCCGAAGTCCAGGAGGTGCTTCATTCTAATGTGAAGATTATATAACTTCCCTTGCATTTCCCATGAGATCTTTTACACATGTCAGTGAAATGTGAATTATCCCAATCTTTTTCAGGCTCTTGTAAGTCATGTGTTGTTGCAAATGGAAACAGACATTTACAATGTGATCCCAGCCAAGCTAGTGGTGATATAAGATCTCTGTTTCTGACTGTAGAGAACTTTAAGCATGCTGTTATGTAGTCCCTGGACCTGCCCACCCTACTCATGTTCTGTTTCATCTCTGACATAAATTTGATAGGAAGGGGTCCATAACTACCATCTCTTATGTTGGTACAGCATTTGATCATAATTGGTAGACCTACAAATGCTACAAAAATATAAATATTAAATCATGCTAACCTGCGCTTTCATAAAATATCTAATTCTAAAATGGTGGAAGAGTGTTACTGAAACTGTACATCTCTGGTCAGGTTGAATGTGTGATTTATAATTTCTGACACACACATACACAAAAAATAGAATTTTAGGCACAGCCTGAATGAAAGTTGTTTTGTATATGGTTTTAGAAATTCGTTGAACCAATATTATCTGTGGCTCTCAGTTTAATCTGCCCAGCCTTTTTATATAAAACATTGAGAAGTTACAGTTTTCTGAATTGAACGTATCTGCTTTTATTGCAGCTATATTTTACTGCAGCTGTATTTTGTTTCTAGCACAGCATATTTCTGTCTAGAGCTCCACAGCTGCATCTGTTTGTAGGACAAAACAGAAGACTCTGTAGATCATCACTTTTCCTCAGTGTCTTCTAGTTGCAGCAAGGTTTGGATCTTGATGGTCAAAGAGGGCCATGTAGAATCACTGTGACACCTTTCAGATCTGATATCAAGGAGAACCGTGAAGGGTTGCGTACACTCTTTTTGGTGGCATGCTCTGTTTAATGTTTAGCACACATGATACAACAGCAGCAGAAAGGATCCGTGTGGAACTGAAACCTAGGATTATATAGCAGCAGAATACTAGTTTTGAGACAACTCACCTGTCTGAAATACTTCTATTCATAGCAGGCGGCCATGAAGTGTCAGAATGGTGAAGCGAGTGAGACTTGAAAAGTTCAAATAGTTGCTGGATGCTGAAATAAGGCTACCTGACAATTTTGTAGTTCAGAATACGTGCTCGTGAGTGCACTTTTAAAAGACCTGTTGGCTCTTGATTCTGTGCCATGCCCAGGGAAGCAGTGGCCATGAGGCGAAGTGGGTATGACTAGTATCTCTTGAGTGTTAGTCACTGCTTTTCAGAGTCACTTGGATCGGTGCTAGTTTTTTTGCAGATTATATGGCTCATTTAATCAGTCTTCATTATCAGAATTGCTACCCTTCATACTAAGATTCAAGGAAATGCTTATAGTACTTAATTTTCAAAGCTTCCATAATAGACTGTGTGGAATTTTCCACTTGTTTACATTCACACCGTGAATCAAACATTCTGGACACTATTGGTGGTTTAATAGCACAATCACATCTCTCTCTACAAATCTCCGTTCTAGATGTGGATCAATGCTAATGCTGTTAGTACAGAAGTTACAAGCTTCACAAAACTGACAGTAGACTGAGTTTACGAAGTAGTCATATTAGCACACAGAAAGGAGAATGATAGAATAGTTAGGAGGTGTATTTGGGAATCATGAGAAATTAAGTCTGTTCCCATTCTATTGATGGAAAAAAGTAGATATGTACTACTGTTGATTAAATTGCAAATTAACTTGATTTTAGGATATACTTTTATCAAAAATAAAATTAAAGTTCTATTTTTATCTTCCCGATCACTTTAACTCAGTAAGTTGCTGACAAACTTTCTTGATTACAATTGCAAGCTTGCTGAAGAGGAGCAAAGTGATTTTGTCTCATCCTGAGCTTTCAGGACAGAAGAAACTGTTCAATAGGGACACAGTGAAAATGTGACCTGAGTAGGTCTGACATTCATATATGTGGTGAATTTGGTACTCCATTCACCCTCCTTTTCTGCTTTGCTTTTGGTCTTTGTGTACATATTTGATTTTAGGAAAAATTAATGGTGTTTTCAAATAGGGTTCAAATATAAATTAAGGCAACAAATGTGCAAATATGATATTGGTGTTGTTAAGATGTAGTATCTGGAAAATGTTCCTTTTTTTTTTTAACTGTAGAAGGTCAATCTACTAGGTGAAATCTTTGGGAAATAAAATGGCAAATGAAAAAGCTGTTCTG